AAAAAAAAAAAAAAGAAAATGTAAAGTAAAACAGAAAGGGATAATAGACAGACACTTTCATTTCTTTCCCCAGAGGAGAAAAAGCCAAGTCCTTTATAGTACAGAGGGCAAAAAATAGTCACCTTAAGAGGACAATGTAGCTCAATGTAATGTAAATTATATATTTAAAYGAGGTCAAATGAGACTATTCTTTGTGTTCTGGGTGTGTGAATAAGACTAAGCTGCCGGGTTGGTGAGACACACTCAATTTTGCAGTGGAGAAATGAGCAATAATCTTGAAATACCAATATATTAACAGCAAAATGTACATAAAAATTTACACAAGCAAATACCCCAGACTTGAATAGTCTGCCCTTGAATACACATCCAAATCCATTTTAGTACAGAACATTATAATTCATCACACAAGAAAATACAGCCAGTTTCCATGGGGGAAAAGAAAAAAGCTATTTAGCTTTAGGTGCTATTGATATTAAGTATAAATAAAAAGCATACTTAGAGAATGGTCTTCAAATCAGCAGTAAAATCTTATTAACTTGTATAGAGGAGAAAACCATGCCTGAAAAATACAAAACTTTTGAAAACTGCTTCAGAAGGTTTTGTGCATTGCTGCAATTACTTTTGTAGCAATTGCTTTTTGTCCTGTAAAGGGATTTCTGTTCAGCTGACTTATGTCCTCAGTGTCACACTACTTTTATTCTACAGGAGACAAAAGGGACAAGTGAAATGTGTATTCATATCCAGAGGAAGAAGCTTAGGCACACCATAGTGTTGTCACTTTAAAAGAGTTGTATTTTTGCATTAGGCAACTGCTTCCCCATGCATTTGTATCTGCATGTGTGTGTTTATGTGTCTCTATACGCACAAATGATAAGTAGCTGCATCGTTTACATTTTTATGGCTGAAACCCTTGATTGAATTTTCATAATGCCAGGAGGGCCCATTCGGGATTCAGGTCCTGCTGTGCAAATACTCACTAWGACATCTGCCCCAAAGAGCTTGTAATTCTAAGAGGATAAAATGTGGCAGGGGAAATAATTWGGGGGAGATGCAGTGACTTTCTCTGATTACATGAGAGGGTCGTTCAGCTCCAGGATMAGAAAAAGTCTTTGTGCTTGTCTGGCAATGATTTATCRGTGAATCAGCAACACCATCCTGGCTTTTTATTGTGGACTGTCCCTCAGCCAGGCTGTCCCTCACTCTTGTGCTCAAACCACAACATCAGGATGTCCYCAAGCCCAGCTGAGCTGCACAGCAGTATCAGCCCCTTCCAGGGAAGCCCCCAAAGACCTTAATCAGCCTGGTTTTCCACATGCACATTTTAATATGTGTAAGGAAAAGATTTTGCTGTTGTTGGACTTCTTTTTGAGATAGGAGTGAGAAAGAAAACACTTCCCTGCTATAGGCTCATTTCTCCATCACAGGTAAAAAGAAGGGCAGGTAAGACGAAGCTCTTGAACCTCTACATCTTCCCCCTAGGGGACATCCCCAGGAACCCCCAAGAACTGATGAATTCTGGCATTTCCCTACATGCCACCCTTCCTAGTGCTACATGTCCACCTTCCACATGGCTCTCCAAAACATCAGCATCTCTGTGCCTAAAGTCCAGGACTTGATCTCCAACATGAGGTCATAGCTGGATRGGGAAGGAGGGATGCTGTCTTTGGAAATGGATTGAGGCAACATGAAAAGCAAGTCACAAGAACATCTCTTGAACCCCCATCCCTCTCTGTCACTTCTGAAGATCAGTGGGAGCAAAAGCTTTTGTTGTGGTTGTGACATGCAGCCATGAGAATAARTGCTGCAAACTGGTGTGATTGTCCWCTCTACYTCCCCCAGTAGAATTATGTGAAATCCAGAAATCCCTAACACACTCATTTTCTGCTACCATATGAAACCATGATTTATTTAGTGTCAAAAAGTGCGTCTATGGAAAGCTCAAAGTTTCAACAAGGCCAAGCACRAGATGCTGCACCTGGGTAGGGCAGCCTCCATCAATACAGGYTGGAGGATGGTAYTGAGAGCAGCCCTGCTGAGAAAGATTCAGGGGCACTGTTTGTTGAGAGGCTAGACATGACCCAGCAATGTGAGCTGGTAGTCCAGAAACCAAAATATATCCTGGGCTGCATCAAAAAAGACCAGCAGGGAGAGTGAGGTGATTCTCCCCCTCTATTCCACTCTCATGAGACCTCACCTGGAGTGCTGCCTCCAGCCAATCTGGGACTCCCAGCATAAGAAGGATGTGGACCTGRTCTAGTGGAAGGTGTCCCTGTTCATGACAGGTTAGACCAGATRGCCTCTAAATGTCCCTTTCAAYCCAAACTATTATAATACTTTATTTTGGTGTTTTCACYGTCCCTGTCATACTTTAGACAAGAGATTCAAAATTTCAGCATAATTTGTGGCTGATGCCTGAATGCCTGTGCTAATGCCTGTGGCCAATTTGTGCTAATGCCTGTGGCTAATGTTCTCAACCTAGTGCATGTGCTTGCTTTCAAGTTAAGTCATCCCTGTCTCCATCCCTCAGGGTTTGCATATGCAAACCCATGAGCAGTCACTGTGGTTGATGGTGGTAGGTGGTTTTWTAAAGTGGAAATCTGAACATCTGTGGGGATGTTCTAGGTGATTATTTGCATTGAATTTGTACACATAGAAGAAGAAAGGTTACTGGCAGTCATAGTTTTCCAATACAGTATTTATATAATGGTATGATAAACTGAGGTTCAGATTTACTCCTTGGTAATGGGCACAGTTGATAAATTGTCATAAACTTCTTGTMCTCCACCTCTGATGCAAGACCAAAGAGCATTTTGTATGTCCATCCTTAAGTGGTTACACTTCTAAACCACATGTAACCGTCTGACTTGGTTTTGTGGGTTGGTCTACAAAGCCTCTGTGTGCCTGACAAGCCTGTTGCTTTCTATTTGCTATTCTTCCCAAGCTGGCCATGAGATAGGCAGCAAATGGGCTCCCTGTGCCACAGGGGAGTCACAGGCTGTCTGCCAGTCACTCAGGCATGTGCTTAATGGGAATGATGCTCCACTGCTCTTGGTCTGTGGTCACTTGTAGACCAGGCTGTGCATAGAGGGGTTGGATAAGGAGAAGGGTTACATGAGAGCCTTGAGGCAGCACATGTTCCCATTGATTAATGGACATTTTGGACTAGAGAGCAAAAGTAATGAAACATGAAATAAGGCTGTTATAAAAATGTATTGGAGGATTCACTCTGTGATCATACTTTCGGGTTCTGAATATTATGTTGCTCTAATATTTTTGTATTGCCGTTGGCCGGGATACCTCAGCTGGTACTGGAACCTCTCTAGATATATCTTCAAGTATTGGACTCACACTTTCCTACAAGTCTATTTTTTCCCCCATGAGACAGCCCATATTGCCTGTCATATATGTTATTACCCAAAGCTGTTCCTTACTTGGTGTGACCAAGCAGAGCTTCACTGAGTAATGAAATGGTCAAAAATGATTTCCARTTGTCTATGAATTGTGGAGAAGGACTTGGTGGTACTGGTGAATGACAAASAAGCCAGCACAGCATGCTCACAGCCAGCCCTATCCAGGGCTGCATCCAAAGCAGGGTGAGGGAGGGGATTCTGCCCCTCTGCTCCACTCTCATGAGGTCCYACCTGGYRKGCTCTGTCCAGGTCTGGGGCCCCAACATAAGAACATTGGAGAGAATCCAGATGTAGGCCACAAAGAAGATCAGAGGGCTTGAACACCYCTYCTATGAGGAAAGGCTGAGAAAATYGGGATTGTTCAACCTGTAGTAGAAAAASCTCCAAGAAGACTTGATTGCAGCCTTTCAGTGCTTAAAGGRGGCTTACAAGAWAAATGGGGAGATACTTTTTAATGAGGCCTTTATCAATAGGGAAAGGAGTAATGGTTTAAAACTATATGAGGGAAGTTTCGGACTAGACATGAGGAAGAAATTTTTTACAATGAGGGTGGTRTAAYTCTGTCACAGGTTGCCCAAAGAGGTGGTGGATGCCAGATCTGTGAAGGCATTCAGGATTAGGCTGGATRTGGCACTGAGCAATCTAGTCTAGTTGAAGATGTCCCTRCCYATCACAGGGGGACTGGACTTGAGGACCTTTAAAGGTCCCTTCCAAGAAAAACTGCTCTATGATTCTGTGGATTCTGTATCAGTAGTGTGGAAAACTCTTATAAGTAGCAATCTTGTATTACCCCACCACTGCTATTCAGGCAGTCACTAAAGGCACTGAACRGGGTCTTACTGTGTGAGCCACACTTTCAGCCACCTCTGGAAAGTGATCTGTCCCAGTCACACTGGAGCTGCACCCCAGCTCTTTAAAAGCAGGCACGAGCATTTGAGTCTGTGTCTGATCTACTTACCTGTTACGGTCAGTGGAGAGAAACAGGCACTTCTAGGTCATGATTCATCTTGTCCAAGTGCAGACAGCAAGAATAATTCAGTGAATCACACTCTAAAACTGCTTATTTCTTTCCATTATAATAGAAAATTATAAAATGAGGACAAGGTGATTAGCTACATACATGCACCTACCAGTGTCTCCAGGGAGGTGAGATGAACCTCCTACAGGCCCAAGAAGAGGGTCTTACCCCTTTCCATGGCTTAAGAAGAAAATCAAAGACAGGTCCCCTAGTTTAGACTAGGGGTTTAGTTTTTAAATTGGTAAGATTAACTTAAGATTATTCCCATCCTRAATCTGTATCTGCCACTAATAAACTAGTATTTTTTTCTGAAACTGGCCATTCTCCAAAAGAGCTACCACAGATTCAGGAAGAAAATGCATAAACATTTCTGAGAAGTTTCACACTTCATTTATTAGTATTTTATTTTAAACTTTTTATTTTTAATCATTAATTTTCTCCTTTGACAATCAATTTTTAACTCAGAACAGATTACATCTCCTTTGGCACTGGCTGGGTTAACCTGAGTACTCTGATGGCTGGGAGATTGTTCCTGGCTGGTTGAGGGCAGGTTTTGGTCCTTCCTCTGTAAATGTTGAATGGCATCAATCTCTTCTACTTCACACTCTTGTTTGTCCAAAACTTGAAGAGCGAGAGGATCGCCTGCTGGAAGTTATCTCCTGACACTACATAGAGCAGTAAATTTCCAAAAGTATTTAACGCTGCTAATGGTTTTGTTATAATAAACATAAAATGGATGGTTCTCTTCAAGTGGCAGCTAACGGGTTGTACTCGGAGCTCCAGGCGAATCCCTCGAAAGACATGGAAGGGCAGGAAGCAGACATAGAAGACTGCCAGGAGGAGAACAGTGAGTCTGCGAGCCTTTTGTTTGTAGCAAGCCTGTGTGTGCGGCCCGGTGGCCAAGATGCCAATGATGAGCACGTAGCACAGAGTCACCGTCAGCAAGGGCACGAAGAAGGCAAACACCGTCAGCACCCAGTTGTACCAGCGACTGGTGTCAAAGTCCTCAGCAGCAGCCAGGTCTGGGCAGATCGTCCTATTCTGGCTGTGATGTGGGGCAATCAGGAAGGCCAAGGGGCTGAGGGCCACCAGGGAAATCACCCAAATGGCTGCACAAATCACCACTGCCCACCTTCGCTTCCGCARGAAAAGGCATTTCATTGGGTGCACAACTACCAAAAAGCGGAAGATGCTGAAGCAGCTCAGGAAGATAATACCACTGTACATGTTGAAGTAGAAACAAAACTGAATAAACTTGCACATGAAGTCTCCAAAAATCCAGTTATTTCCATTAGCATAGTAGTGTATAAAGAAAGGAAGCGTGACTACGTAYAATAGGTCAGTGATAGCCAGGTTTAACATAATGATGGTGCTGCTTTTCCAGGGCCTCATCTTAACACAGTAAACAAAAATTGTCACAATATTCCCTGGGAAGCACACCAGGAAGATTAGGCTGTAAAGGACCGAGAGGTAGGATTTCACCTGTATGAAGTCTTCATCCTTGCAGCTTGTCAATCGGTCTGCGGGGCCAGGCTGAGCAGTAAAATTGCTGGTGTATTCAGATGCCATATTTGCAGAAATCTCCTTAAGGCTTTACAAAAATAACATGTTTAGTTTTAATTGATTTGTTGGAACAAATGCTTCCAGTTAAACCTTTTGTAGCTGTAGAAAATGTTGTATGTTTCGGAAAGCATAGTAGTGAGAGGAGATGAGGATTTGCTAATGTGCCCAGTCTGACCCAGATAACCAYACTAAAATGTTTAATTTCATCCTTTCCTGTCGTTTACACCTAATTTTGATAATTATTTATTTTACTCTGTTCAGCCTCCTTCACTGAAGAAGACAATTGTGCTTATCTGCTAATCTTCGAGAGTAGTAAGCACACATTTAAAGAGCTGAAGGGAGTTTAGGCTTAGATTTTGCAAAACTGTGAACTATTCTTAACCTTTCAGAAAGTAGAACCATATCTATATATTATCTTCATTAATCTGAGCTAATCAGTGTCTCAGGCTCATGAAACAAAGATGCCATTTTCTGCTTTCATGAAAGCCAAAAGATKTTAGATTTAGTTACAGATCTTAGGACCTGATGCTCCCATAACCTGACAGATTGTTCCCTGAATGTGCTTTTATTCCCTTGGAGTCATCAAAGTATAAAGTTTTATACTTTATACTGTATAAATGTTTTGGTTTGGGTTTTTTTGGAAGTTATTTCCTTTTTGGGGGGATGGGGTTATTTTGCTGTGTTTTTTTTTTTTTTTACTCAAGCTTCATAATGGCATAAAACTGACTTAAATTGTTAAACACTGTTTCTCAAAGGGCAGAAGAAAAATGGAAAGCACAGATATTGAGAGAAGGCAGTGATTTAGCTTTCCATTCTATATCGATTTGAACTAGGTAGACTTGTCTCTGGAATGGTTTCTTGTCTCAGTTTGGATCTCTCCACAGTGGATTCAAGACAACATTTCTTGGTGGTGTTTTAACCTAAAAGAATGGTAACCAAGGATGAATACCATCTCATCTAACTTCAGGTATTGGGAAGTTAGATGCATAAATTGGAGCCAGTCCTCCTAAGGCCCCTTTATCACCAAAGGAGAGAAATAAGTTCCTCTCAGGCATAATATATCTACCCACAATTGAGGTCTCTAAGATAAATTATTTWCTCTTTTGGCATTATTTCTTTCCATTGATACAAAAGGCAGCCCCAAGTGACTAGTTCAGATCTGGATATCTCAAGTCAGGCAAGAGGTGTGCCTCTGTGTGTCTTCAGCATTTCAGGTGAGAACCACTCTTCCAGATTCTAACCAATTCCATGTGAGAAAATACATTAAAGCAACTTCATAAAGTGCTAGGCAGACTACTGTTTTCTTGTCCTAGAAACGGCATCTCTAAAATGAAACAGTGCTACATGRAACATACAGGGTGAAATCAACACATTAAAACAAACAAAAACCAGAAAAAAGACAGAACTGTACCTTACTAAGTCTTGGAAATCCTCCTGTGTATAATTTTTGATGTGATTCAGTTCATACATTTAACAAGTTACCTCTATGACTCTTCATTATCCCAGTAACTGGTGGAACATGATCAATTTGCTCTGACAAATCCAGTAATTAAAGCAGGGAACCAACGGGCATTATCTGATCATAACCAGCAAGGACCACTTCAGAGAGAAATTTGAGCAATCTCMCCACAATTTAGTTAAAATGATCATGCTTTTTAAGATTAATATTAGATCTGGCTTAGAAGCTTTGCAGTCAAAGATACACTAGGTAAAGGCCATGAAGCTTGTTTTAAACCAATCCAGATTTACAATCATAAAAGCTAGGAGTATGCATGTTATCTCTCTTTTCTGCTGCTCAGTGATGCTACTGTCACCCACATTTATGCCTCTCCAGTATATTTCATATCAAGTTAGACAAATTTACTAGAATATTTGATTCATCCCCYGTTTGGCTTTCTTGCACTGCTGATCGGTTCTTCACCACAATCTTGAACCCTCCAAATTGAAAATGGAGAAATACTGCTTACCTGAAAACCTGCAATTCTGCTCCTCACTCTGATATTGCTTTGAGCAAAGAGCTCAAATGAAATGTATTTATGTCTTCCTTACAGTGAAGCAGGTTTTAGTATGGCTTTGCAGCAGTATACATTCACTCCCTRTCTGACTGAGGCTCCATGTGGCTGTAAATTAGGAAGCTGAGGAACTGAGGTAGAAAACCTCAGTTACTGGCTCAGGTGTCAGCTCCTAGAACTGGGTGGCTGAAGGAGTCCAGTTTTGCCCTCTATCATTCATGCTGTCTTGCCTTCAGTGGGCAGATCAGGCTTTGCTGCAGCAGCTCTGTGTGCTGAGGCAGACCTGTAGTATTCAAATAGCAACAAATCACATTTAAATTAGCATGGATGTGTGAGTGCAGGTGCTTATAAAAGACAAAATTAAATTTATTCTCCATTTCCTGTGAAGTGAAACCTGATCACCAAAGTGAATAAGGCATGTTGTCATTTCAAGGTCAGGTGAAAAGTGTTATGACACACTATCTTCATTAAAAGCAAATTTCTAACAGAGTACAATTTTCATCTCATAAAAGAAATGAATGTTTCTTTTGGCACAATGTGCTTTTCAGAAACTGTGGCAAACTGTCTGCTTATTTTTGGTGAGTAAAATATCTRCAGTGTGTTAGCTGGTTATTACTGGAGTAGCTGAAGTTGCAAACTTGTTTTATTTTGAGCTTTTGCTTTTGGGCTTCGTAATTCAYAAGAGCAGCGATTTTCCATGTTTCTTGAGCCGAAAGGCTGTTCTTGAATAAAAATCTCATTATTATCCTTAGCTCGAGGAACAAGATCAAAAGAGATTATTATTACTTAAAAACAGTCACAGCATCTTGAATTTTGAAACCGTAGGCTTCAGCAACGTGGTCCATGCACAGAGGCTCCAGCTGCCCAGCGTGGCCAGCAGCCTTTCTGCCTCAGTACATTTGACAGGTCTTTACTCACTGATGAGCTGATGATGCAGTACAAAATGAGCAAGATTTTATGCCTGAACATTACATATGTGGGTGTAGTTACTGAGAACTGTATATATAAGAGCATTTTTCAGAAGACAGTCTTGACTCTCCTTGAGTGCCTGTGCTGTGCATGGTTTGGGAGCTGGCTATCTGTTTTGCTAATCACACTGAGGGGAAAGAGTGGTAACGGGGACAATCGAGACTGGGGCAGCAGTAATGCCTGACAACTAGATCATTATCTATCTGTTACCATTAGGGAAAGGGCAYCCTCTCTGCTCTCATCTAACCAAGCTTTTCTCTAGGTCAATGCCCAGAGCACTTTTAAAAAAATGTCCAAAGTTTCTCAATAATTGTAAAATACACTGTCATGTACCATCTCAGGGATCAGCAACTGTTTAAATAGCTATYACCCTGTTCCTAGACACTGCATGTGTCATTAGAAACCATTTGTATGAGGCTGTAGCGTTACAAGCACAGAGGGAGCTAATTATAGTTAGGGATCATTTAATGCATTCACTACTTAATCCATTATACCCCTGAGCAATGGGGAACCTGTGCAGCAGCGGCTGATTTTTATCCTTCCTTGGCTGTGGCAGAACCTGAGGTAAAGCAGAAATGGGCTTTCCTGGTGCTGTGACCCAGAATTGCTGGGGATTTGGTGCACTGGGGTCTCAAGCAGGCACTGGGGTCACCTCTGAATTTCTGACTCTGGACAGGAGAAGAAAATAAAACACGCATTTTCAGACCAATCTTGAGAGATGGTGACTGACAAGAAGTCACTCATGTAGAGCTGCTCTGCATGGAGATGGAGCTACACTCCTTAGCACACCCGAATCTTGTCTCATCATCAGCTGCAGAAACCTTGTGGCAACTGCACCCCTGCATCCTCCCTGTGTTTTTCACCATGGTTACAGCAGCTCCTCAACACACAGAGAGCTTTGGAAATATTGGCTTCAATTGCAGCCATGTGACTGGCCCTGTGGCCTGTGTCAGGCACCAGGGAAATTGAGAACAAACTAACAAGGGCCACATGTGAATATCGGGTTTGAACAGCTTGTCTGGCCTCATGTAGGATCTCTGTGGATGAGGGATGATTCTGCACTGTGACTTGCAACTCCTCAGTCTGTGGACCTTTTATCTTTACCAGCCATTTCTCCACATCATGTCCATAGAACCTTTTAAGTCTGCCTATTGGTAACTCATTGTGATCCTTCACAAAAACAAGGCACTTTTTGTACTTTAAGACTGTCATCATCCTTCTCCCCTCTACAAGCATTGGAGGGAAATCAAAATACCCTGTAGTTTCACAGTCAGCTTTAGTGACTCTAATTGCAGGCTGCAGTCAAAAGAGCTGGCAGCACCACCTTCCTCCCGTCATCCTAAACTATGCCTTTTCAATGACCCCAGCGCTTGTGCAGTCATGGGATGTGTTGGGTAAGTGACCTGACTGAAGCCAGACCAGTTTTCCTAATCTTGTATTTTCTTTCTGGCCCTTCTGTGACAGGCAATGGCTCCTTCTGTGGGTGTGTGAGCTCCAGGCTTATGGTGGGGACTGGCCARGGGCAAGAGGACAGCAGCAGAGGCAGATTGGCTGGGGCTGGCATGGAAGCTGCACGTGGGTTCCTGCTGTGGAGTTGTGCTTCTCTCACTGTTACCAGCTACCAGCCACCAGCTGGTCTCCAGCAATACTTCCCAAAGAGACAGTGCTCATCTCCTGTTTCAACAGTGTTTCAGGCAGGCTGGATTAATTTGACAGATGGRCTGACATTTTCCCTGACATAATAAAATTCTATAGAGTGCACGTGCATATATTAATGTTGCTCTTAGTCACTGTATAGAAAGGAAACTGGAATGATTTGGTGGCAGGATTAATTTAATATTTCCTCTTGAAACTTTATATGGTAGGTAAGGTCAGTTATCACAGAGTGCATGACGCAAACATAATCATCTTTTCATGCTGTATTTTTCCTTCTGTGATGGCAGGGTGAACAGTATGCACATGATGGCAGATGGGTTTGCCCCACTGGCCCACACAATCATCTCCTTCAAAAACTTCCAGTCTGAA